CAGAAAGCGGTGAGATTGGCTTAATCGAAGGCAGAATGGGGATAGGCGCGCCATTGTTGGAAGCCCCGTTTGTCCACGTAGCTCGCTTAGTGGCATTGGGACGTTGCTTAGTCGACCCACTCGCATCACCAGAACTGGCTTGTGCAGGTGATAGGGGCTTCACAGTGCTGTGTTGAGGCACTGCTGGGGCACTCTCGCGAGCGACCAACGATCGGCGGAGCCACGAGGACGTCTTTGATGTGAGCTTAGGTGAGGCCTCAGGTGAGTCTTTTCCAGAGAGTTCAGAGCCCTTGCGGCCCAACAGTCGGGATGAGGAGGATTTGAGCCGTAAGGGGTCAACGGCATCCTGAAAATATTCATGTTCGAGAGCTTGTCGGGACGTAGGCCTGGCTCGGGGATCCCACAGGAGACACCATGTGACAAACTGGGCCAAACTAGCTGGCCATTGTGGCGAGGGGAGAATGGTGTCGATCGAGTGCGGTGCCATCTTGGGAAAAGAGAAGCCCAGCTTCTGTGCTAACTTGACTCCGTCTTTCCACTCACCACCGCCAACTCGCTGACCGTTCTTGTTGACCCAGCTTCCAGGGCTGCCCATGATTTCGCACACTCTCCACACCTGATCGACCTCATTTCCACCAGGGAACAACGGCTTCAGTGTAGCAATCTCAACAGCCATAGCGCCAACGGCCCAAATATCGACTGGTGCTGAGTAGTGGCCGGCCCGCAGCAGAACCTCGGGAGCGCGGTACCACCGGGTCGAAACATAAGTAGTGTAAGGAAGCTTGGAGTGAGTTTCCCTGGCGAGTCCAAAGTCGGCAATCTTGATCGTGTATACTGGTGGTGTCGATGGCGGTGTCATCATGGCAGAGTACCGGCGGAAGGGATGCGATGTGTCGTTTTGTTGCGATGTGGAGACGAGGATGTTCTCTGGCTTGATGTCACGATGGAAAAACTCGCGGTCGTGAATGTGTTCCAGTCCGGACATGATCTGAAAGAGGATGCTCTTCACGCTGTGTGCGTCCATGGGCTTGTGCTCGCGGGCCTTCATGAGCTGGTACAGATTGCCGTCCATGAACTCCATGGCAATGTGGAGCCTGCGGGTGTAAGGATCCAGGAAGATGTCCAGGGCTGGTACCAGGTGAGGGTGTGGTGGTAGTGATCGCAGGAAGATGACTTCTCGTAGCTCCAGGCAGCTTGAGAATGAATCAAATGTCTTCTTCATAGTCTTGATAGCTACCTGAGAAAAAGCGCGTCAGTCTGTGGGTCAATGCCACTGTTGTCATCGTGTACTCACTAGTGTGCCGCGGCGGGCAATGTGAGAGCCAGCAGTTCGGACGCGGGCAAGTGCGACACTACCGAAGCTGCCGTCGCCAATCTCCTTCATCACTTCATACCTCTCCTCGAGGGATGCCCAGCCATGAGGCTGGACTTGTGACTCTGGATGCATGTTGATGTGAGTATGCAGCGGATTGTGTGTTGGAAGATCTGTTGGTAGCAGATGCTCCTGATGAAAAAGGACTGTAGGGGTGTTAGAAAGGAGAAGGTGAGACTATGTCACGGGTGGAGTGAGACTGGCCTGTAGAACAAGTCCTTTGGGCGGTGGTGGTGATTGATGGCGGGACGGGTTTAGTTCATGTCATTCGAGGAATCGAGTTGGTAGTAGTGACGAAAGGTCCAGTAGAGGGAGAGGGGATGATGTGTCGACAAGCTGGAGGGGGAGGGGGAGTTCAGTGCGTATCGAAGGGTGAGATGCGATAGGAGGGTGTTGTAAGGGTCCAGGTTGATGCAGGTGCGGGAATGTCGAGAAAATGAGAGACGACGGTTGGGAGGACGTGTGGAGACGTGCCCGGGACCACGGTAGACGGGTAGTATTCCGTAGCTCAGGAAGTTCTAGTGAAGATGAAAGCGGAATGACTCTGTGATCATAGCTCGACTGGCTTAATGATCGGGCTGGGAGATTGGAGCGCGCCTGTGCGTTCGGGGGAGTAGGGATGTGGATTATGGAATGTCAAGTGAAGGAGGGCGAGGTTGGCCAGGCGCAGGTGATTTGGCGGGAGTGGAGGGGGGGCGTGGTTCGAAGACACGACGGTCTAGCGGGAGCGAGACGTGACGCAGCAATGGGCAGGACGCACACGAAGACGCGCCAGGCTGCTCACACGTGGATGTGATTGATGGACGGGCGTGTATAATGAAAGACAGCAAGGGGTGCGGCAAATGGGCGTTAGCACGAGTCGCAAGGCTAGACCCAAGAGATTAGAGTGGAAGCGGCGCTCCGAGAGGGTTATGAGTCGTAATAATGAAGATCGCGCCGCCCAGACGGGGCAAGTGCGGTCTGCTGGGCCAGGAGCCGGTCTGTTGCTGTGGTGAGGGCGGTCTCTGCTGTGTGCGTTGGCAGCAGAGGCGGCAGATGGCGGAGAGACGCGACGGGGTGGGCTTAGCTAACGCGCGAAGCAGATGCACGGCAAGACCAGGCGGGGGATGGCAGAAGGATGGCGGTCAGTCAGGGCGGGAGCAGGAGGCATGACGGCGCAGGGCTGTTGGTTTTTGAGTGAAGGAGCGAGAGTTAGTTCAGCTGGGCAGTGTGGCGTCTGCTTTGGGGGGGAAACGGATGCGAGGGTGAATGGCGCGAGATGAGGGCACTGGGGGGGGTGTGGGAGGGAGGGGTGGTGGGTGGCTGACTGTTCGACGGGATCGGGGCGAGTGGTGAAGGACGGCGCGAGGGCTGTTCCAAGCTTAGCAGAAAGGAGCGTTGGGCGCGCCGAAGCGGGCTAGCGGGGCGAGACGACAGGGGGCAGGCGAAAGTGGCCGCGAAATGCTGTTTATTTTCCCCCTTTCATTGGGCCCCTGCGCGTCCTTTTCCCGCCCGCTGGTGCCCAGTCACGTGTCCCCAGCGCGGCGCGGTGCGGTGCGGTGCGGTGCATTGCTGTGTCTGTGAATGTGAATGCATGGGTGCTGATGCGTGTCAATGTGCAGGCCCTCGTTCCCAGCCATCGACGCCGCCTGTTCCATTTCCTCACGAGGCACTGCGTTGTGTCAGTATGCATGTACATTCACATCGCGGCCACCTCTCTAGTGCGCACCCAACACACACTTACACATCTGCAATTCACCGCACAACAGCGACCCCCCGCCTCCATGCCCAGCCCAGCCCAGCCGAGCATAGCACAAGGACAGGACTGCACAGCAATGCACCGCCCTGGCCTCACCGCAATCCCTCGCCCACCAGCATAAGCACCGTTGCTTCTCCCACCACCACATGCCACCCTCCATGCCCGCCACCACCACCACCACCACCACCACCCCCCCGCTGCGGCTCGCCTTGCAACCACGCCGCACCCTTCCACCCCCAAAGTCACCATCTACTCATGTATATGCATCCAGCCGCCCGCCCGCGGTCGCACAAAGTATACACACTTGGGGCGCGCAGCCCCGTCGCGTGCGCCCAGGCTCGCCCGTATCCCAGCACCCAGCATCCCAAGGGCGCGCCAGGAACGTCACAGGCACCAAGCCAGCATCAGGCTGTCATTTCACGGCGGCCCACGTTTCGCATCCCTTGCCTTGTCGCTCCGCCGGCGCCCGGTTCCTGATTTGTCGTGGTAGGTTCCTGGCCGGCTCTCATGCAGCCTTACTCAATTCGCCCCAACCGGCCTAGTCATGCCGTCGTGCGCATCCGTCAACGTGGTTTGGTTGTCGAGGCGTGCCTTTAGCCTTCCCGCGGCACACCGGAAGAGCCACCGTCTCTGTCGCCGTCGAAGCCATCCCCTGCCCGAGTCAAGGAATAGGCGAGTAAAAGGACCGTCATTGATGCGCTGATGATGTGCCCTCCCCATCGTCATGGCATGCCAATATGACCACATTTCCCTCTGCCTCGCTGCCTACCTGCCTCTCGCGGCGCACCAATTCGTGCCCGCTGCGACACTGGCACCCTCGCCCATCAGGGGGGCGGGGGTCCTGAATGTCAGTCATGCCATCATCCCAACGCCACAGCCCCAAGCCATGCCGCCCTCGACACATGCAGGGCACCGCGCGGGGTTGCCTTGGTCTGCCCGACGCGTCGTCAAACCTCCCTCGCTCTGATCGACCAAACGGCAGCGTGCTCCAGGCCCAAACTCTAATTTTCTCCCGCCAACCTTCGCGGCGCACTTGCATGCCCTCGATCAATAGACCCGTTCTGGTCCTCGACAGAGTTTCTGCCCACGCTGCCCCAAGTTGGGCCGGCACTTTTTCTCTCTGGCTGCGTGTGCGCTCCCTCTGCTCTGGCGGGAAAGCGCGTTCGCACTCCAAATGTCGCAGTTCCCCTCTGCATGGCTCTGTGCGCCCTGTCATACCACAGACCCTGACTGTCAACCCACTGAAAATGTTCCAAGCGTCCTGCAACCAAGTCCTCGCCTTGCTGGGCGACCTGTTGCCGTCAACCGCCAGCAGGATTTGCTCCGGGGCCCCCAATCTTCCAGAACACTTCTCCCGTGCTATCCTCCTGTTACAGCCCATCCAAATAGATTGGCGGCCCACCCCTAATCCCGCCTCATGTCCACAGAATCTCCGAAGCCTGCAACTCCTTTGTCGGGTACGAAGCTGCGCAGTCGGCTTGTTAGAAGAAAAAAACCTAGCCTCCACCTTACCACACGCGTACGAGTTTTTTCGCTGACTAGCATGCTTCACCCACCACCGCACTTTCCCGGCTATTATTGCACCGATCGTCGATGGCTGCTCCCGGGGCAACCAACGCTGTTTGACCATGTCCCTTCCTAACTTTGGGTCCCGAGCGTGCGTTCGGCCAATTTCAAAGCTAGAGTACCATCCAACCAATGGTTCTGCCATCACCACAGCCTAAACATCTCCCACTAGGTGTGACCACGGCAGGGGCCTTTCAAACCATGGTCCGTACCGGATAGGGTAAGCATCACCGGATTCCATCTGTTGAAAAGCAACCTCTGTTGCGCGCTTAACTTTTCGCACATGTCTGCACAACCTTGATCACGGTTTTCGCGCACCATCACTTGTAACAGCAGCCGAGGCGTGTGCGGACTACCTACGCAAACATTGCACAAACATACGAGGAGCCCACCGCGCGACATGCCTCGGTCGCATGCGGTACTCTCGGTCCCAGAAAATCTCTCGTGTTTCTTGACAAACCCGGTTGCAGCTGCGCACCCACAGTGAAGTTAAACAAACTCTTTGTTGCTCTGCCCTTTTGCGACACCGAGCTTGTCAATGCGAAAGCATCCCAGGAGAAAAAAAAAACGTCATTGTGCGGCTGTAGCCACTTTTGCTTTGTTCGCGACGCGGCTGTTCCGAAAGCAAAAGCACAAATGGTAGCAGAACAAGCAAACACATGGTTATGTTCGGCTTGAAAAGCAAAATCTGATAAGCACAGACAGATGAGTCTCGAGCCACCTGTTTGTTCCACACTGATGAAACCATCAATCGTCACCTCTCACGATGTGGCGCATCTGTCTGCAAAACGACGTAGGTGCGAAGGATTTCTCATCAAGGTCGTGCAATCTCATCCTCTTTGTTGGCGTTCGTTGTGTTCCCCAGCCTCCCAGTTACCCGAGGCATAACATCGGATTTGATTGGAACACGCCATCAGAATTGATATTCCGCTTATCTCCATTTCGTCGGTGGTTTATTGACTCCAAGGTCAGATCACGGTCTCTCCACGCATACACATCTTTGCCCAGTCCACTTGTTGTCCGAAATCCTTTCTCGGCAGACCTAGTCCAACGTCAGCTTAACGTCTATTTGCCCATGTAGAATCCGGCCCGAAGCATATGACCATAGTACGCCCGAGCGATAGCTATTGGCTGCTCGCGTTGGAGCGATTCGGATTGTTCCGCCAGATACACGGTTACGTGAGCATCTCGATTCTCGATCACCACTGGCTTATCCCAATGGAAAGGTCCGTCTGATCAAGGAGCCCGGGCGGTTGCTGCATATCCACCTAGCTGCGCTATCTTCACCATACTAGGCTACACTATGTACCAAAGCTGAGAAACACATCAATGGATTCTCGCTACACAGACTCCCAGCTGAACAGAAGCCAGCTGTTTAAAAAAAACATTATTTCATAGCCAAACTCTACATGGCCAATCATCCTTCTAATGCATTTGCACATCACGCCTCACTTGTCTCAACAAAGTGATTCCTCTTATTCCATGTACACCGCCAAAAACGGATGTCGTGGCTTGACAGCAGTATGCATGTGCGTCTTCCCATACGAGATGCATGCAAAAACACATTCACACACATATACCCCACATGCAACTGCATCACGCAAACCACGTCATCCAAAACCAATATTTCTTTGCTAAAGCTAGCTTCTCACTTGTTTATTTTGATGTGATTGATGTTGTTGATATCTTCTTAGCAGTGTGTGAAATGGCAGCTCCAATTGATTCATTCGTCAATCCAAATCCGAGCCCGAGCTGGACAGAGACATTGAGAAACTCAGCCAGCCGGTGAAATCAAAACAAATGTGGAAAAGACAAGCAATGCATCAGCCATCCATTGGTCGCCCGAAGAAAAAAGAAATCGTCGACGATAATTCAGCGAAGACGGGAAATGAGATCGGGAGGAAAAAAAAAGAACAAGAAGAATAAAAGAAGAATGCGCGGATATCGATAACCAGTGCCAGTACGCACGATGCAAAATCCCCGCATGCGCGCACACACACACACACACACACACATATCCCATCACACCCGCGCACCACCAGTCGCCAGCCATATCCTTAGCTGTCCTTCCACCCGTCCGCCACCACAACCATACTTTGAGCAGCGGAATAGGAGCAAACGGGACAGTTTGGACCCTGGCATCCTCTCCCTCCTTCCCCGTCCCCGAAACAAGCATCAATCAATATCTTAACACATCAGATTTATAACATCTAAATATTAACCCCGCTTTCTCCCCCCCCCCAGCTACCCCAACTTCAACCCGCTTGTTTCTCGTCTCTTTTTCTTCTCCTTCCCCTCAAGACACGCAGAAACACACAGAGACACACATAGAGAATGTGAGGCAAAAGAGACACATACGCTAGAAAGCGGAAGCACGGGAGATAGACGAGAAAAGGTCACTTCCCCGAGGCAAAGAAAAGAAAGAAACAATAAGAGCAAGAATCAACGAAGCAAGGCCGTTTACCCCCTCTTCCCAGCCACATTGAGAAAGAGGATCGCAGAAAAGCAAAAAGCCACCAAAAAAACACAGAAAGACCTTCAAGAACGAGAGAGCGAGAGAGGCACAAAACGAGAGACAAGGGAGAGAAAAAAACTTGCTCACCTTTGCGCCTCTCTCGCCCACAGTCCCATAAATTCCATGTTTGACCGACTATCACTTTATCAGATTGACCGACAGTAGTGGTTTTTTTAGGGGGGGGAGAAGTCTGGTTCAGATTCTGGGTCTCTGGCCTGTCTTGCCCGTAAACCCCCCCTACCTTAGTCAATGCGCAGGTACCGGAGTGAACTACTCATTGTTCAACACTAAGTGGTCAAGACATGCGCTGACCGCCTTTTCATGCACGCAATGCAAGCTACATACATGCTACACACCACCACCACCACCCCCACACCGAGCCAACAGCCCGGTGGGCACAGACTCTAAAATAGTCTCTCTCTCTCTCTCTCTCTCTCGCCGGTTTCTACTCTTACTGTACATACTACTACCTTACCCTGCCTATCCATGCAAGTCCCACGGTGCTGTCAAACTGCCACTAACGTACATGTACATGTTGACAGGGAACGCTGGCTCGCGGCTGAGCGGCTCGCGGCCTCGTCAACCCTTTATTGAGACTTACCACTTGCGGGATACGGTGAAAAGAGCGGTCACGTCTGACTACCTCCAAGGCGAGTAGAAGCGATTCATGCTTCCATCACAACATCGCTGCACCGCCATCACAAAATTCACTGACATGAACCTAATTAAGCATCGTAAATAAGCCAAAGTGTATTGAGACTATGTACTCTATAGACATCGCAGATCTGCTCTAGAACAACTAACCCGCATTCGAGTACCTGAAAATGGTTAGCTGATCGTCAAACCAAAAGTATATTCGACGTAATGAATAGTACGTGGTGCGGATTCAGGTCTCCAAGGTGATTGTATCTTCAATGTGATTAAGAAAGAACACAGCGAATCATGTTTTTCATCATACGAAGGGGAGGGGAGAGAATAAGCAAACAATACCACCTACCGAAGTCGCAGGAAGCAATTGTACATCAAAGGCGCAAAGCCAAGGCTGATGTGAACACGTTAGCGTGCGTCCAAGAAGAGACAACGGTATTCATAAAAACATGAATAGAACAAGTCCATCGAGTTTCAGCCTGGACCGAGTTAGTTGACAGTAACATAGCAAGGATTCATAGCCTCAAAATACCTCATTAAATCAGATTTGGTTGTAGTGATCAGTATGACGGACGCTCGTTACAACGCCGCCACTCACACAGTGTGAATATCAAGAATCATCATTACAATGATGGACTGTCTTTTGAAAAAAAAAGAAAATGCCGTACCTGTGGAGTTTGTTAGAAACATTCCACAAGAGTATGTCGTCAAATGTGTGAGAAACGAGGGCAATCAGTGATGCTTGTATCAACAAGTAATGCCTCTTCCAAACACCCACAGGTTTGTACGCCTGCTTTTGATGGATGCCCAGTCGAGGTATACGTTATGTCCGCCCGACGCATCAAAGGGTTTCATCAGGAAGCTGGGGGGGGTGTTCGTGGGGTGCACAGGGTTTGAGCGCAGGGAGTATGTACCTATTCGAGCACAGTTAGCACGTTGATTGCAAGAAGAACTATGCGAAATGCGATAGGTTTGAGCAGTGTCAGACAAGGCTGAAACTAAAAGCAAGTGTGTCGACATTGTATATTCAGGTCGAGGAATGCCTTTCCGTGTCGTGTTTTCATCACTCTGCGGATGGTGGGGAAGGGTAGTTGGAGATGCCTTACCTTTGAGAAGAAAAAGAAACTGTATCGCTATGGATGACTGACAATCCTAGGTGTCACTAAACTGGAGCTTTGTTAGTGATTTGCGCAAACAGAAAGCTGTGAGAAGACGCGTATAATTGTATGCATCATTGTAATTCTAGAGTTTGTATAGTCCTTCACGATGCTGTAGGATTTGGATTGTTCGTATGTGATAATCTTCTGCAGGAGTCGCGGGAGCTGGATATCGCTTACCTGCTAAATTCGCATGTGCGATTGATGCATTAGTACTGATCAAAGACAATAGAGAAGCGCGCAAAGCAGACGCGTTGTGTGGTTGGTGATGAGAATGATGTAGAGAACGGTTTTGAGCTCCAGAAATTTTAGCTTCGAGCTCGGCGCCGAGCCTCCGTAGCGCCGCTTATGTAATGCATCGGTTGCGTAGCCACTCTTTCCTCGCTCCCCCCAATCAAAACGAAACTATTGCTATAAGTTCATACATTGCAGAGGACAAGAGATTTTGCTTGTGTTGGTGTTCTCTTGATTTGATTTCAAGTTCCAAACTCTACGTCGGCCATCGGCCTTAATGGTAGGACTATAATACTCTTCTTCCAAAACTTGATGCTTTGGTCATATGACCGCACAGCACTGTCCAAATTGCTCTGTAGAATATCAACTGTCACGGGTCCCAAATACTTTCTTTGGTCAACTGCAATCATCTGATCCAGAGTCCAACAAGGCTGCACTTATACGCATGCATTGTTTCTTCAGGTTCTCGCCTGCACATAAAAGCAGTGCATTGATCGAGTGTGAAAACTAGGCCTCAAATTAGGCCTTATCATACAAGGGTATGTACTATGATAGTTTTAGGGTGTATGATAGTTGTTTGATTCAAGGTCAATATGCTAAAAACTCGTCATATCGACGGGAAGAGAAGGAATATTTTGGCATGCCAACTACACAAATAGATCCTACATAAGCTAATCGCGTAGCATACGTCAGCTTATACGCATCGAAGCTTTGTGACAAGGAAAAAAACCCACGACACGTGAGTGTATGGTACGTACTGCGTACAAGGGCCTTGAATTGTCTTGCTGTTGATAGTATATGCCAATCTCTTTGTATGCCCTGCTATATCCAAGCTGGGAATAGGATAAGATAGCTTCCTTCATGGAATGAAAACTCTATGCAAAAAGCGACAAGATGCATATGTCCTTGTCCAACCGACCTACATGTTAGGTATTTGTTCCTCGTACTTATGCTTTCAGCAACAGAAACCACAATGGTCAACTGCATTCCGTAGACATTCACTAATTAAAAACCTACTTTGCGGAAGGAACGACCATGCCCATTCACTGCATTGATGTTACACAGTAACATTCCCATCACACACACGCACGTAATTCTGAACAAGATACACGTGAGAGGAATCGATCCCGCAACATCCCGCGCTTTAAGGAACAGTATGAAAGGGCCTTGCATTTTGTGTCATGTATCTAAGCTCGCTCGTCAATGTTGGAGAAAAACGCACTCCCCCAGACTATGTAAATGGCCTTGTTCGAGCCGTTCAACTGCCTCAGAATATACATTATGAAAGTAGAGGAAGTAGAAAGTGTAAGAAGGGGGAGAGGGTATGAGGATATGGGGTATGCAGAGGGAGAGAAAAGAGTTAGGAGTACAATGCAGGAAAATGTTAATGTCCAAAACGACACCACTCGTCCAACGATGTATGTGCCAGAATGCGAGCATTACAAATCGTTGAAAGCATAAAGACGTATCAAAAAGGTAAAAGGGAAAAAAAAAGAAGAACCGTCGACAATGTCGAAGCAAACTTTGTCGATCAAGTGTAACAGTGGGTATGTAGCGTGTTTTGTAATGATCCCTCCCAGTGTGCGCCGATAGAAGCAGGTGGCAAAGAAGCAGGTACATGAAGGATAAAGGTGTGGAATGGGTGGATGAAGGAGCTTAGAAGCAGTTGAGTGTACCCTTCTTCCTACCCTTCTTTTGGGCGTCGTTGAGAGCTGCCATGCGTGCTTCCAGGTGAGCACGCTCAGCTTCAACACGTAGACGGGCATTGCGCTCCTCCTCGACAGCTTGAAGAGAGTGGCGTGCTGCGCTGCGCTCCTTGCGCATAACATTGAGCTCTTCTTCTAGAGTGGCGCACTTCTTCCTGAATTGATCCAGATCAGCCTTGGTCTTTGTGCTGGAGGCCTCGAGGTCAGTCAAAGCATCCTCCAAGGTAGCTGTAAGCTGCTTCTCGGCAAAGAGATGCTTCTCAATGGTGCGAATACGAGCTTCCTGATCCTCGACCAACTGAGCATGAGCAATGTCCTTGCTCTGGTGACGCGAGGTAGGAGGAGAAGGTGCATTGGTTTGGGGTGGTGGACTGCCAGGAGGAAGAGGGGGAAGAGGAATAGCTGGCGGGGGTGAGGGCAAGGAAGTGTGTGCAGCGTTCTTGCGCGCAGTGGAGTTGTTTGAGTTGGATCGTTGGAGGTCCTCGCGGGGATCCACAGATACACGGGCAGAGTTGCGCTTTGCATCAACAAGTTGGGACTAGTCACGTCAGATATGTCTATGAGTGGGAACGTGGTTGAGCTTACCTCTAGGAGCGCAATCTTGATGCGTGATTCCTGTACTTCCTTTTCAAGTTCCTCGCTGTGGGTCATAGCATCTTGAAGCTCGCGAGAGCGCTCAGTTTGCAGAGCAGAGAGTCGGTTGTTGGCAGCCTCATGCTGGTCCCAGTTCTGGTTGAGCTGGTCCTCCAGTTCTTGTACAAGACGAGCACTCTTGAGCTCTTTCTCACTGACCTTCTCAAGTTCTTTCAGCGTCTCGGCGTTGATAAGCTCAAACTCTTTGAGGTTGCTCTTGAGCTTGTTGATGGTACTGGTAGCCTCTGCAAGTTCCTTCCTTGCTGATTCAAGGTCTTTGACAGCCTCATCTAGTCGACTGGCAATTGACTTGCGCTCTTGGACCAACCCTTCGATATGTGACTGGATGGTGCTGATGTCTGTTTCTTCGCCCAAGGCAGCCGAAACACCTTGAAGTAGCGTCTCCATCTCGGTCTTCGCCTTGGAGAGATCAGCCTCTAGAGAAGATGCTGTCTCTTTGTGAGTCGTAAGCTCTGATGTGAGCTTCTCGAGCTCAGCAGCGTGTGTCTTCTGGATAGAGTCCATGCCTTGTTGATGGTACTCGATCGCTGCCTTATGCTCCTCAATCTGTCTTTCCAGGTTGGTGACGAGAGATCGATGAGTCTCGAGTTCTTTCTCAGTGAGCGAACGGGCTTGTGAGTCTTCCTCGAATTGCCTGACAATGTTGGTATGTGACTCCTCAAGCTCGGCAAGACGAGCAGCATTGTTCAAAGCTGTAGACTTGTGTTCGTCCACCTCGGCTTGTAATGTGGCGATCATCTCAGCGTGCTTGGCGCGCTCTTGTTGCAAAGCGGCTTCGGCTTCGGCACCTCTTGTCTGCTCGATCTCAGACAAGCGCAGAGCGTGGTTTACTTCAAGTCGTTGCTTGGCAGATTCCAGCTCACGAACAGTCTCAATATGCTGCCTCTCCGAGGCCTTGGTGGCTTCAATAGCCTCAAGGTGCTTGGAGTGCCAGTGAGCAGCTTCATCACTAAGCTTGATGAGTTCATCGTGGCGAGCGGCATCTTCGTCGGCCTCGCCATCACCGTTGGTTGTCCGAGGGGTATCGGGCATCTGTCGGTGTGAGAGCAGGTCCTCCGATGACGCGCCAAGCTTGACAGAAGAAGACTTGAGTGTCTCGATTTGAGCTTTGAGCTCCTGCTCCCGCTGGGCGTGCGAGTCCTTCAACTCTCGGATGTGGTCCTCGTTTTGCTTCATCTGATCCTGCATTGAAGCAACAATAGAGATGTCAAGAGGAGATCCAGCCTTCAAGCTAGACCGTTCCTTTGTCAAACCACTGATCAAAGTCATTTTACCTTCCATCTCCTTGCGTATGGACTGAACCTCAAACTCCAGATCTTGAACTCTGTCTGAGCGTACTTGAATCTCGGACATGATCGTGTTGAGATTGAGCTCAAAGTTCTGTATGGCGTCTTCGTCCTCGTCCAGCCTGTCCAGCACAAGGTTCCGAAGAGAGGAAACAGCACGGTTGGCGCGGTCGTTTGCAAGGACTGCTTGACTCGACTTTCGACGAATCATGTGCATTGATGGCGAAGCTGGTCGGTTCAGCTGAGCCTTGGTGATCTCTGATTTGAGCTCTTCGACGTAGTCGAGCGTGTCTTGGTGTTGTTCTTGTAGCTCAGAGTAAGTCTGCTCGAGCTCACTAATGCGCTCCTCCTTCTCACTTTGTAGTAGCTTCAAGGCCTTCAATTCCTGAACAAGGATAGTCTCGGGAATGTGTTGCTCTTGGCTCAGAGAGGCGACTGAAGCTCGTCTCGGAGTAGCCTCATCATGGCCAACTTCCGTCTCCTCGTCTGGAATACTGGTACTGCCAGACTCCGCTAAGGACAATTCCGCAGACAAGGTACGCGAGGACGAAGGTTGTCCATCCTCTGCTGTGAGGCCATTCACCCCCGCGTTTGATAAAAAAGATGTCGGTCGAGAAGATGGTGCAGATGACGCAACGTGGTGACGCGCCTCATCGACAGAGTCTTGAAGAGCTGCCAAAGTGCGCAAAGCCTCCTGGTACTTGCTGGCAAGCTTCTCGTAGTCTTGGAGTGTCCCTTCGTGTTCTACACGGAGATCAAGCAACTCTTGCGTGACTGTGTCAAGCTTATCGTGAACGAAGCGGACTTGTGCAGGGCTGGATGGTCCATCGTCGCTATCGTCACGGATTCCATCATTGGAGATGGCCTTGACAGCAAAATTGGGTTTTTGCTCCTCGGCATCAGCATGGTGAGCAGCGGTACTGGCGGTCTGGGGACGTTCGCTGCCAGCCTCCTCGGGAATGGCATCGATAGGCGTACCAAATTGGTGCATGCTGTCAGTGGTTACTCGCCTCTCGAGGTTGGTATGCTTGTCGATGAAGGGATCACTAGGAGTCTTTGAGTGACCATTGACGTGGTTTTCTTCGGCTTTTGAGTCCGTCCTGTCGAGCTCATAGAGCAAGTTGTCTAGTTTAGCAACACTACGTTGTCTTTCGACAACATGCTTGAGTCGCTCAATCTCACGACTCATCATCTCGGTTTCTTGCTCGTTTTCGGCGAGGCGCTCTTCCAATGTAGAGATGTACTCTTCACTGCTGGCCTCGTTCTCACGAGCCTTTTGCAGCTTTTCGCGCAGTTCAGATATTACGGTGTCGTTCTTCTCAATGCCATTGACTGAGGAGTCGATTTGGCGTTCGAGTGACTGGACGTACTCTTCGTTGTTGGCGTCACGCTCCATTGCCTTTTGGAGACGAGACTGCAAATGCTGATTCTGGCTCTCGAGGATGGCGATGCGAGTCTCCTTTTCCAGCAAATCGCTTTCGTGGGTTGACAAGGTAGATCGCGTGTTGGAGAGAGAGGATTCCAGAGTCTGAATCGTCTTTTCGTATTCGAGAACAACAGATTCGACCGCCTCGGCGAAAGAGTTTGATCTCTTCAATCGTTCTACTGCAGAATCACCAATAGCATCCTTGAGCATAGGCGTTTCCGTCTCGCTGTTGTCACGTGCTTTGGTGATCTCGGAGATAAGTTTAGCGTGACGCGCACTTAGGGCGTTGTAGTTTTCCTGAATATCCAGCAGCTGATTCTGAAGCTCAGCTTCACGCTCGTCTTGCCGCTCAGCGCGCTCTTGGGGGCCGGTCTTCTTTCTATCCGCGCGCTCGGATAGTCGTATCTGGTCTCGGAGAAATTGAACTTCGGCTCTCAACCGGTCGATAGCGGCTTGTTTATCACTGTCGTCATGGACCTGCTGAATCTGGGGTTTACTTTGGATAGCACGGGCGCGCTGGGCGTATTGGACCGTGTTCAGGGTTTCGCTTAGGTGGAATTCAGCTGGGTTGACGCAGGCGATCATGTATGTGATAGCGTTACCGCCAAGCGAGTCTTGCAGAAGGCGCGTAAGCCTAGAGTCGCGGTACGAAACATAGCCCCCGTGAGAGCGTGCCGACAGCTGCGAAATAACTTTTCCCAAGCTTGCAAGACCTGCGTTGATTGAAATACCTTCCTTGGCGCGCTCGCCCTGCGCGCCTGTGTTTTTCAGCCGCTCGCTTCCCGCCAGATCGACGAAATGGAGCTTGCTATCCACAGTTACCCAGCTCTCGCTAGAGCCAGACATCATTTCGATGGGCACGGACCGGCGCTTCTCGCGGGTTGATGTTGTTGTTGGCGAAGATTTCTTCTGTACCAAGTTCAAACTAAACACGGCATGGGAGCGCGACGATTTGGCATTGACGGCAGTCGCGTCAGTCTGCCGGATTGAGGAGCCGAAGTTGAGGGCACCAAGCAAATCATCGATCGAGTTTACGGGTATTTGGGTGAGTCCAGTGAGGAGAATGCGACCATCACGGTCCTCTCGGATGTTTACCTGAGGCCGCTCGCCTTGGGCTACGTTTTCGGGTAGTAGCAGGTCGCGAAGTTGCTCATTGTAAATCTGCTTGCGTCAGTGCATGCTTTTTTTTCATTTTGCTTTTTTGTTCGGCTGGGGAGTCATTACCTCTACATACGTGGCCCTCAGCTGCCAGTTTCTATTCGCCTGCGATGTTGAAGACTTGGCAGTGAAGTTCTGAATTCCAGATAAGCGACTTGGAGCGCGAATGCCGGAGCCGGCGCTTTTGTTGGACCCATCAAGTTTGTCGAACAGCAATGCGGCTGCGCGGGGGATGATACCTAGTTGCGCAGTCAGGATCACCTTGTCTTTTTTTTGTTAAGAGTATGTTGGCAAGTTAAGCATACCCATAACTTCGGGATCGGCTTGATCTCGTGGGCCCGTGGTGCCCATTGTGTACGACTTTCCAGCGCCAGACTGGCCGTAGGCAAGAATGGAGACATTGTAGCCCTGGACGAAGGAGTGGACGCTGTCTGCGACATATTCAAAGATACCCTCCTGGTTAATGTCCTGGTCAAAGACACGGTCAAAAATGAAGACTTTCTTGCCTCCAGCCGCGTCTACAGTCAGGCTCGAGGGCGAAGTGACGTGACACAGGGCATTGCGAAATCGTTGAGGAATGAGTTCGTAGCCAGGATCTCCATGCTGGAGTGCAGGACGCACACGGACGGCTGCATTAGAGGGTGGTTAGTACGCAGCATGCATATCGGACCGTGGGGGGGGTGGAGGGCACCTACCAACTTTGACGGCGGTCCTGCTGTCTTCGTCCGACGCCTTGCTCTCACCAGGCTTGCTGCTGATACTCATACGACTGGAACTGCGATTGGAGCGCAACATGGCGCTCATGGGCCGCGTAACACCGTTGGCGGGCGAGCCTGGTGGTGAAGTGGCCATTTGAGCGGCCGCGGCAGCGCCGTGAGAAGGGAAGGAGTGGAGTGCAGCACGGCGTGGCGGGGCGGCGAAGTTTTGCTTTATACTTGTGGGGTGAGTGCAGCTGGACGTGGCGAGGAGGGGAGAACAGGCGCTGCAGTGGCCCTGGCCGGCATCCGCGTAGTGGTTTGGGGGTGATGAGAGGTCGAGGGGGCGGTGGTCAAGGTGGAGGGCGATGGGGGAGCGCAGGCGGCGACTATGCAGGCTGTGGAGCAGAGCAGCAGCAGCAGCAGTGGCGGCGACAGCAGCACAGCGAGGGCCGCGGGGAAAATAGTGAAGAAGGAATTATCCTGCTTGTGAAGACCAGAGGACAGAAAAGCAAAGCAAGTAGGGTTCGGCGCGGGTCATCAGAGCGACAAAGGCCTCCCCCTAGCGCCAGATGATTTCCAGGGGGAGCGCGCGCCTTTGACAGCACCCACCCCCGAACCATGCAGACGAGGCCCCGAAGTAGAAGAGGCCAGGACCCTGACCTGCTGCTCGGCGTGAATGTGGACGCAGACGCGCCTTGTCCGCTGCCCGCGCGGCGGCGGGCCCATAAGCATTCCCACAACCAGCAGCCGTTGTTCCTGCAGCCCGCGTGCATTGCTGCGCTGCCATGCAGGGCTTCGACATGCTATACTACACAGCAGCCCACCACGCCGCACCACGGCCTCATCACCCATCCGCTGCCGCCAGCTCGGCTCGACACTGGCCCTGGCCATTGGCTGCCCCGACTATCCAGCTGCCCTCACCACTCCCGCCTGCAAACTAGCTCGAGTACCCTACCCATCCCTACGCCGCCGGCCGACGCCTCGCTAGCGACAGCACCACCGCCCAGCCCACGACGCTGACATTCGGATGGTCATGTCGCCCAGGCGCTCGAGCATATAACACAGCCAGATGCTCTTCATGCATCGGCCGACTGCTCCCGACACGGCTGCACACATGGCCCATCGTACTCGCCTCCTGGCCACACACGGCACCCGCGCGCGCAGATCTTGTCAAAGTCGTCTTCGCCCTGCTGAGCCAGCCGGAGTTGGCCTGCATCTCGAGTCGCGTCTGCGCGCTGTCAGCCTCGTACAGTCGTAGAATCATCAAAGAGTAGCGTGTTTCAGCTCGGCCAATCCTACCCAAATTGCAACCGACATAGCCGTTTCCTGTCGCTTAGCCAAGCTGCGTGACGAGGCTGCGCCAACCCTGTGCGAACACTAGGTACCGCACAGAAGGGGGGGTGGCTGTAAGTATCTACTCCAGTGACATACTAAATCGCCCTCAAAATCAAAACCCTCCGATGCCCTTGACCATGCCCGCCCCCTCAACTCCCTCCCTCTCTCACTCCTGCAACAAGCCGTCCAAGTCCATTGGCCCTTTCCTGTTCCTAGCGTCTGCTGCCAACGCCAGTGCCGTCGATAGTCATGCTGCTATTCCTCCCGCTCCCCCCTTTCTATTAAACCCCCTATCGTTACTCTCCGGCATATGGCGTGAACAATCTCTGCTGCATCTGCTCAACCTGCCAAACTCAGGCCGGCTCTGCCATATAAATCTCCGCCGCCTGCTCGTCCCACTGCAGAAGTGGAAGTGCAGTCGGCGCAATAATGTGACTGTGTTGCTAGCCGCAGCCTCACCATGCCCCGGTGGGAAGCCCGCGCTCTAAACGTTGCCAGCCACGTGCTGGCCGCTCCACTGCGCGACGGCTCGACAAAACTATCACGACCACAAACTTCGCCTCGGCAACTACCGCCCTCGCACGGGTGCCTCATCCCGCAACCATCAACCTCTTGCAGCCCAACACCTTTAACCTCATGCATACTTACAATCAACTCGCCTTGTGTAGAACCCCGAAGCAGGCACTCGGCCTACTGACGCGTCGTCCCGAGCACATCTTCATACATCCACAAGCATATACCATCTCCGACTGTGCACGGCAACCCCGTCCCAGTGGAAATCAAATGTGACCCGCGACCAAACAAATGCTAGTTTCAGCGAACCGCCTGCTCTAGGGCAGATGGCCGTTTACAAGACTGGTACATAACCAGACTTGGCTTCATTGCTGGCCTGATATCTGCCCTAAGTTTGCATTGTACATACAGTATTATGTACGTGTGGATACCTAGTGTAATAACACCAGCCTAATATAGGTCCTTGCAGTCCTTGCATGCTTGCGCCATGTCGGCCAACACCCACTCCACAACCTGCTTTCTGCACATCGCGCACTGTGCCACGGTTCCATATCAAAAGCGAAGCAATACTACCGAGTGCTGGGCCGAAACACTGCATCTGTTTGTTTCAACTCCCGCGTACAGGCTGATTACCACAATGGCACAAGACACACACAGCAGTAAGCTTCCATCTTCTTACTATCCTGGACTCGGCAAGCCCAGTCCGGGACGGACCCCACCCGCGTTCCATGTCTGAAGCCTGTCCGGGCCACGAGAGGCCATGAGTTCTCAAGGTCCCTACTGAACGGCATGTAACTTGGCTAAGTAAGCAGCTGCATGCCGCAACCCCCGGCCCACAACGCTCCGTCTTGAAACCTGCAAAATCTGGAGATTGAGCCACTCCGGTTTACCCGGCTCTGGCTGCACACTTACGAAATACACACCCCCCTCCTCCGATTTTTAACAGATGCGAGAGAGATCCAGGCCCCAATCGCTGCACAGACATCTACTCGCCCTCGTTGCCCTCGCTTCATTGGGTGCGGGGTAAAGGTAGCTTACCCCCCGGTCAACCATGTCTCGTTCTGTAAAGTCATGACTTGGACCTGCATGCCCCTCCAAGGACCCATTTTCGACGTGCATTTCTGCGAACCCCTGGTTCAAGGCCTCCCACTTCGCCTATCACAGCAAAAGCTTACCACTGACGTGATGTCGTGGATCGACGCAGGATATCACCAACCCCCAGTCAACTCAACGTCTTTTGTCCAACTCTCGCGAATCCGCTTTCATGCCCCACCTTTTCGCCCTTTCCATTTGATATGCGTTTGCATGACAATAGCAACTCCGTTTTGCTTCCTTGTCCATTAAATAAAGTTTGAAGTGGTATATCTGCCACGACTCGTGCCCGCTACACTCCCTTTGTGTGTCAGGTTTTTTTTTCTTGTCTGGCATCCCAGTCTTTTCAGTTAGTACATAAACTTTCCCCTTTTGGGCCATTCCTTACTGTAACAGGGGGATGAGAGCAATGACAGCTACGTAATCGCGTCTCGCATAAGATGTTGATTAGAAGCTGACTGCCAAGTCTTTTTTTCCACACATGGAGCACCAAGGAAGTGTGTGTAAGTTCTGCTTACTGTAAAGAAAAACATGGGACTTGGGAACGTTCGAGACAACATGGTCAGATGCCCAAAGACGCGTACACAGCGCATGCCCAAACGGGACTTGCTATCAAAAGGGCAGGTGGGCCCCCCGCTATTCTTCTGGTTTCCCTCCCCGGGCATTAACAAAGAACTGCCGGGCGATACCCGTTGCTCTTGCGTACGTACGGATAGGAAGGAAACTCAACCCGGAAACACTAATGTTTGCCATGACTCAACCGACCACCAATATCATTCGATTCCAAGTGTTTAGCGAACCTCTCTTATTCTTCGGCATATTGCTTCATAGACAGTAGGCGGGCATCATGGTTTGAAGTAAAAAAAAAACTTGGTTTTTGACCCCATTGATTACTCTCACACACTTTTTGATCCACTGACTCGAAACTTTGGTGATTCGCTTCCGTGGTGGAGCAACAAGAAAACTCTAAATCCTTCTCGCATGATCTGTGGCTATATGTGAAGGATCCTATTATCATATTGCCTATCTTGTATGTGTCTGTGTGCGCGTGGCCAAGAGAGAGAGAGAGAGATAATGACCATTATTTCACGTATTGACATGACGTGTTTTTTTTTGGAGGGGGCA